GTCAGAACTGTTCACAGTGGTGGTGATAGGAACCAGACGTCCACCTCTAAAAGCTCCCTCACAGAAAGTTACTACAGGAAATGGTTATGAATTCACTGCCTGATGACTGAGACACTGTTTTATGATAGTTTTGAGAAGCAGGCCCTGGAAGAGGAGAGCGTCCAGACAAAGCCACTAGAAAAGAAAGAGAGGTAGCCGCAGCGACAGCAGCTTCTTCAGTCCTTCTGATCGGAGTCTGGAGGCGAAAGAACATCTTGAAACGTCAGAAAACAGCACTTTCACTTTCACAAGCCAAAAAGCAGCAAAACAACAACTCCCACGAGAGTCTACCACTCACATGGCCTACACTGTATAAACATAAACAGTGTATATACAGTATACGGGTCATTCTACAGAAACGTCCACTCTTCTGTCTCTACATAGGAGTCACTGGTGTTACTGATCCTCATTGGTGTTACACATAATAAAGGAACACCAGAGACATTTTTAATGAACAATGCATTTTACAAAATACCTGCTACAGAACATCAAACCACATGTTGTCCATCATGGAAAATCCACTAAAATATGGAATTTAATCCATTTGTGTTCTGTTTTTTCACAGTTACCTCAGAATAAAGTCGGTCACACCAGTGACTTCAGCTAAAAGCTTCATATGAAATCATGAGCTGAATGAGAAAATCTCTGATAACTGAAAGACACAGTGGACTCACCATGAGCTTTTCTTCATAGATCCTCAGAACACAGGTAAAAGGAAGTCGAGTGATGTCATCAGTGTGACTTTTATTTCAAAATAAGAGTTTTTTTGTTACGCAGTAACACCAGTGACACGACTCCTGGGGACCACAGCTTTCTTTAAATATTTTATAATATTTATTTGCCATTTTTTTTCTTTTTGTAGCTTAATTGATATATTTCATAATCGTGTATAGATTATTGTAGTTAAAATTGCAGAAAAACATGTTTTTTACCTCAAAATATGGCCTCTTTACACATAACTGTGGGGACGAGCTCTTCTGTGGTGCTCTGAATTCTAGATGATTGATTTAAAAACCAATATTGCTAAATTGAGGCTCAAAAAGGTGTAATTGATAAAATAACAGTTTTATTTTAAAATCTAAATAAATTGTAACTAACATGTTAAGTGTAATATATCTGTAAACACTAGGGACACAAAAATGGACATTTCTGTAGAATGACCCATATACAGTACAAGTATAAAATGAAAATTTCATCTTTTTTAAAAACAAACAAACAAACAGTCTTGGACTGCAATTAGCAGACAGTGTTTGCATGGCGTTAGCAAAGCAGCTGACGAAGACTGATGTCATTTAATCTTCAAACCTGTTAATTATTCATTTCAGTTGCTTTAAAAGGAACCGTACCTCCAGAGGAACCAGAGGAACTGACCGCTGTTCCACTTGCACTTCGTTTCTTAGTTTGGACACTGAATGGGTGTGTGTGCTACCACACATTAGCATTAGAATGAGCAGGTCAGGCAGGTTTAGCAGCAGGCCAGCTAGCCGGCTAGCTATTCGTTAAAAAACGGACATGATGAGAATCTTATGGAAGCCAGTTTTCACCACTGGATAAAAAAGTCATAATATTATATATTATATTATATTTATTAGGAGGTTAGTCATAATTGAGATAGTAAAGTCATAATTTGTTGATGCTAAGTAAATTATAAGACGGTAAATCAATTATGAGAAAGTAATTCATAATTGAGATATTAAGTCTTACTCATGAGATTCAATCTTATTATAATGAGATAGCAAGTCATGATTATGAGATGCTAAGTTATATTGATGAGAAAGTAACTCATAACTATGAGATAGTCATAATTATGATATCCTAAATCATAATAATGAGAAAGTAATAATTATGAAATACTAAGGCACAATTATGAAGTGCTAAGTCAATTATGAGTCATAATTATGAGATGCTAAGTCATAATTATGAGATGCTAAGTCATATATCCTAAATCATAATAATGAGAAAGTAATAATTATGAGATACCAAGTCATAATTATGATATCCTAAATCATAATAATGAAAAAGTAATAATTATGATACCAAGTCATAATTATGAGATGCTAAGTCAATTATGAGTCATAATTATGAGAAAGTAAGTTATAATTATGAGATGCTAAGTCATAATTATGAGATAGTGTCTTTATAAGATGACTTGCTAAGTCATTATTATGAGAAAGTAAGTCATAATTACTTGTCTTTATGTTATTATTGCTTACTAAATTTATTTTTTTCTATATGTATTGTTTTCCAGTGGCTGAAATGGGCTGAACAGTTAAAAACAGCAGGGTTTGCTGAAGGTTTGTTGCCATAACAGGAGGGCTTCAGATTCTGCTGAAGGGGAGGAGCAGGTCAGGCAGGTTTACCAGCAGGCCAGCAGGCCAGCTAGCCAGAGGTCACGGCTAATCAGCTGCTTCAGGCTGCGTTTCGAGGCCTTGGCTGAAGAGAGCTGGATGGGTCTGATGGAGGACGTTAACACGGTGCTGTTTGTAATTTCGGACTGCAGTGGGGTGAAGAATTTTAATTACATGAATTTCTTTCCATTTCGTTCAACACCTCTAGGCTTCCACGCAGCCCGTTTGTCTTTGGAAGCACATTTGAAAATAAAACATTATTTTCTGCACTTTTAAAAACAGACTTTATTAAAAGATAGTGGTTCTATACAGAACCATAAACACTCAAAGAACCATTTTCAAGCCTAAATGCTTCTTTGAATGGTGAAATTGTTCTTCAGATTGATGGAATGGTTCCATATAGCACTGAATAGGGTTCTGTTATTGTACAAGCTTGACATTGTCACAAGAACCCTGCTTGGTGCTATATAGCTCTATATAGAGCTTCTATTCTGTACATCTAGAACCATATACAACACAACCTCCATCAATCTGAAGAAAAATGAGTGTTCATGGCTCTATAGAACCACCGTCTTTACTAAAGAACCCTTGAAGAATCTTTAAGAACGTATTTTCTTCACTTTCCGGCAACAAGGTGAGACGAAGCTGAGCAGAACGTTCACAAATGTTGCCCCGACTGTGAGAAACTCGACACGTCGTTCTCGTTCATTTAAGGATGCGATGCTGCTTTATGTCCTGCAGATGAGTTCAGAGATGAAAAGTGTGCATAGATGATTCTTCAAAAAGTCTAATAGTGGGACGTCCATCTAGGAACCTCTGCAAATGAAGCTAGCAAAAGGTTCTGCAGTTTTACAGGGACCAGAGACAAGCGTTCTTAGGTGGACCACAGTCTGAAATGAAGCCAGAATGAATTATGCGAGAAAGCACAAGACAAATAGGAAATTCCTCCATAATTAAGTGGTTAAGATGTAAACAGTGGTTCAGAGTGGTTTGGTGTGAAACACTCTGTTCTAGAGAAACTTACTGAGTCAGAACTGTTCACAGTGGTGGTGATAGGAACCAGACGTCCACCTCTAAAAGCTCCCTCACAGAAAGTTCCTACATGAAATGGTGATGAATTCACCACCTGATGACTGAGACACTGTTTTATGATAGTTTTGAGAAACTCAGTCGACTCGTGTAGGTTCACTGGTGGTTTTGGATAGTAAATAAAATGTCTATATTTGTATATGTATATACTTTGGTGAAATTGCCCTTTAACAAATAGACAGCTTGAACATTACGTAAAGGAAGGAAAATCTTTATTTTATCCTGCTACAGTGGCTGTAAAAGTCCACTGGGAGGCAGCCAAACATACAAGACAAGATCATAAATCTCCAACGCTTATCCCAAGATTCAGACTGAGCCGCGAGGAACTCTTACGTAAATCTTCCTTTTATTGAGCGTTCTGGATTGGATTTAAACCTGAAAGTACAGTAGGCCTGTTTCGTCGTCCGTCGCCCACAATGAACCACTTCTGTGAGGTCAGTAGGGACAGTAGAGGCATCTACACAAACTGAGGGCCCCAAAACTGAAATACGACCCAAACGTAAATTGCATAGTCAAGTTGTGCTGTTACACAGAATTTCAGGTATTACACAAGTAGGGACGATCTGTTGACCCAGATGACAAAGGATATCTTTGTGGGTCCAGCCGCTACAAAGAGACAGACCGCATGTTGAAAATGCTGGACAGACAGACCTCAAAACATACATCAACAATCAGCAGAGAAGAAGTCTCTCCTTTAAAGGCGCACAATACGTATAGAAGCTTGTACGTATATTCAAGTGTGCAAATGAAGCTCACGTGAGATTATCATGTTCTTAAAAAACGAATAGAAAGAAAAAACAATAATCAAAACCCCTTGAGATCTATTCCGGAGCAGGACCACTGAGGTATGGGTCGCCCTGATCCTCCAAATATTAGGCTTTTGCAGACGATGCATAGTCCAGAGATTATGTGCTTTTTCCTTCCCGAAGCTGTTCCTCATATTGGCACTTAAAAAGCTTTTCTTTAGGGCGAGTTTTCGTCAGAGGGGCCTCCCAGGTGGCCACGGTTAGACGTATCCACTTTCACTGGGTTCTACTGAGAGTTCACGCTAGTGAAAAAGCCAGCTCATTGTTTTTAATCGGAAACCAGCAACGTCATTTCTCTAATGAGTCTATTTGATGGTAGAGAAGAGCAATAAAAGCAGCACTGCTTTATCTTTCTTAATAAAAGGGGAATTCCACTGATTTTTCAGATTTTCTGCATAATTCAACTGTAAAGACGTGAAGAAAGTCATTCATAGTAGTTTGGTGTGAAATTCTCTGTTCTAGAGTCACAGTGGTGGTGATAGGAACCAGACGTCCACCTCTAAAAGCTCCCTCACACAAAGTTTCACGGCAGTACAAAGACAAAACACCATCAATCAACATTCCATATAAACTCAGAAGACTCGTGTAGGTTCACTGGTGGTTCTGGATAGTAAATAAAATGTCTATATCTGTGTTGTAGTCATGGTGACCCCTGGTTCCTATCACCACCACTGAAAAGACATCTGAACCATTTCACACCAAACCACTCTGAATGATCTTTACAACTGAATTATGGAGAAATTTTGGTGGAATTCCCCTGCAATGTCTTTTTTATTCCTTTAAAAAACGAGGAGAAAAATAGAAATAAAAATACAGCTACACATCTTGTGCGAGATACGTCCACAGCTACGTTGATTTGGTCCGGAGCTCCGAGCCTGGCTCGGTTTAGTGGTTGGGTGGCGTCGGCTGGTTCACGATGACCTGGATGACGAAGTCCTTCTGGATCTTGGTGTCCTGCAGGCGTGTCTTGTCCGTGAGGAGCTTGCCTGAGAAGAACCAGCGCTGGTGGGCCACTTCGATGCCCTCCTGGGCCTGGAGCTGCTTCTTCAGCAGGCCAATGGGGTCGGCCATGCTGGCGTTGAGCCGCAGGTCTTTGCCCGTAGAGAGGCGGACCTTCAGCTGGAACTCCTTCTTGGAGGCCGTTTGGGGTTCGGCATTCTCCACCGGGTCCTCCTCGCTGCGCTCGGTGATCAGGTTGACGGGTGGCGCCAGGCAGTAGACGGGCAGCTGGTAGCGGTTGCCGAGCTCGTCGTAGCACTCAGTCAGAGACCCTGCAGGTGAGATATGAAGATCTGAGCTTTGCGCAAAGTGCACTAGAAACTCGAGGGACAATTGAAAGAAAACTACGTTCTGTTTTTAATAAAACATACAGTTACTAAATACACACAAACACATACTGGCCCTTATTATAGCGTATATTATTATAGCTTATTATAGCTTATTATAGCTTATTGGGTGCCGCTACATCTCAGCTATTATGCAGCCTGGACCAGCCGCTTGAGTGACGCTGTATCGCGGCTACGAGGCTCTCTGGATTGGGGACCTGACTGACGCTACATCGCAGCCCGAGCTGGCTGCTTGGTAGACATTGCATTGCAGCCATGAGGCTGCCTGGACCAGTAGTGTTCGGCTGCATGAGCAGAGCCACACCACAGCTACAAGGCCTATCGGACCAGATGTCTAAGCGAAGCTACGTGGCTGCCTAGGCCGGCTGCTTGGGTGGCACTGCATTGTGGCTGCCTGGACTGCTGGGGTTCGGCTGCAGGAAAATGCTCCCCCTTTGTGGCTGATGACATTTTCAGCCTTCAAGGCTTCCCTAGACGGCCTCCTGTGTGATGCATCATAGTTGTGGAGTGAAACTTTCCCTGCGGCTAAGGACTCTTTCTGGACTAGCTAAGTGACTCTATACTGTGGTCAGTGAAATCCCCTCTGCTAGCTGTGGGAACCATGGAGTGTGTGTGATATGTATTGTTGACTATGTACTGATTGTAAAGCGTCCTTGAGTGTGGGAAAGGCGCTTTATAAATAAAAGTGATGATGATGATGATGATGATGAAGAAATGAGCGGAATGAATGAGTGCAATCAGCTTCAGTGCGTGAAATCAAGCGCCAGCCTACTAGCACCTCATTTACATATCATTTACATGAAGCACGCCCTAATTCATGCACATTTCTCTATAAGAAGCCAATAGCATTCAGCAGCTTGTGAGCCAATGGCTGAGTGGTGAGTGCACTGCTCCCCCTACTGGTCAAAGTTTAAAGTGTTAAAATTAGGACCACTAGAAAGAATAAAATGAAGTGTTTTTAAGATGGTACAATGACGTGATTGTGTAAAATAACGTATTTATACGCTGTATTACTGCAGTGCGTCAGTATGAGATGATCTGCACTAACCGTGTTTTGTATTCTTTATTTTGTGGGTGAAGTCAGTATAAAACAAAGACAGTGCAATGTGCCTTTAAATGGAATGTGGTGTATTTATATCAATGTGTTCTTTAGTTAAGAAAACTGTTCTACAAAGAACCTTGAACACTCAAAGAACCCTTTGCATGATTAAAGCATTCTTTAGATTGAGTGAGAATGTGCTGTAGATGGTTCTACATAGAAGCTTTTTGAAAAGGGTTCTGTATAGCACCAAAAAAGAGTGTTTGTTTCAATGTCAAGTTTGTATCAATAGAAGAACAATTTTCAAATAGCTTCTATAGAGAACCATCTACAGCACATTCTCACTCAATGTGAAGAACACCTTCACAGTACAAAGAACCCTTCAATCGTGCAAAGGTTTTTTTTGAGTAGTTACGGTTCTTTACAGAACCATTTTCTTTACTAAAGAACCCTTGAAAAAAACATCTTAAATGTGTACCAGATGTGTTTGATAGTACAGACACACCAAAAATGAAACTGATGAAAAAACAGAACTGTTGGTGAAATATGAGTCGCTCATTTTACGATCAGAGCTGACCACACGGAACTCCGATGAACAAGAACCAATGTGACGCAATGTATTATGATAATGCTAAAATACTGTCGTATTGCCCAAACTAGGTTTGTATTGAAAGTTTAGAATCAGCACTTTCCAGAGAAACGCTTGTTTCAATGCATTTATGATAATCTGTCATGATCTGTGACTTGGAAGAGAAATTTAATACAGAAACTGAGCCAAACTGTCCAAATTGCTCTGTAATCCACTGAACTCTCATTATTATATTATACAACAGTGAGTTCCGGCCACGCGAGCTGATTGGTTGAGAAGCGTTCTAACCGTGCTGTTATTTCACCATAACATCACGTTTTTTTTCACAAACGCTGTATCACTCCGCTGAGACGCCGTTGCTAAGCAACGAGTTTGACAGCTGTTCAGTCAGCAGCTGTGACAGAAGAACAGCTGAACAACCTGGAATCAGCCAGAAATGAACCCAACACCATTCGCCAAACTAAAGGGGCTGTAAGATGCTTTACAGACTGGCTGGAACAAAACAACATTAATACTGATCTGGCAAAAACTGACAAAACTGAGCTGAACCTGATATTGCAGCAGTTTTATGGCTCAGTCCGATTTGGTCAGACTCTGAAGATCAGACTACACGTTTGGCGGATGGTGTTGGGTTCATTTCTGGCTGATTCCAGGTTGTTCAGCTGTTCTTCTGTCACAGCTGCCGACTGAAAAGCTGCTCAGTGGTGATGACAGTTTGGGAATTTAGTGTAAGGAGCTGGAGAACGAACTGCCGGCTGTGCAGCGAGTGGGCGGAGCCTGTTACTCTGGCGTATTATCATCAAGCTGCTCGTTAAGGAACTATAATTTGGTGAAGGAGCTGCGAACATTAAAACATATTAAACGCCGCGTTCACGGCCCAGTTTATTAATTTATTACTTTATTTGTTTAACTGTTGTATTAAAGCAGTAGAACACTCGAGGAGTGTGTTATCGCCAATAACATCACGGCTGTGATGATCTACGGCGACCAAATCACAGCTGTGATGTTATTTCATGATAACACACTCCCTCTCGGGTTCTACTGCCTAAATATCAAGCTACAGAAAAAGGAGGATGTTTGTCCAGCTCCTCTCACCATGTGGCAGTGTGATACTGGCTCCATCGACTATAGCCTGAGCCAGATCATGGTCATTGCATTCCAGCGCGACAGCAGCCGCTTTCAGGGCGTCCCAAATCTCCTTCCGGCCTTCAAACGCAGGAGCAGTGTCCCAGAACTCGTCCCTCTTACTGCGGAGCTGGCCCTCCGTCATGGGGTAGTCACTCTTCCACCGGGGTTTGTCCTTCTTCAGGGGTTCATTACGGGCTGGAGGAACGAAAGAATTAGAAAGAGTCGAGTTTAATTTACATTCAACAAATAAAACATTATCAGGGTTGTTCTCAAAGGGGAATTCCACCAAATTTCCAAAATTCCTCTATAATTCAGTGGTTAAGATGTAATCAGAGTGATTCAGAGTGGTTTGGTGTGAAATGGTTCAGATGTCTTTACAGTGGTGGTGATAGGAACCAGGGGTCGCCATGACTACAACACAGATATAGACATTTTATTTACTATCCAGAACCACCAGTGAACCTACACGAGTCTTCTGAGTTTATATGGAATGTTGATGATGGAAAATAGTGGAAAATCTGAAATAATAAGTTTTCTTTGGGGACTATTTTGCCTCACAGCACCCTGCATATTATGTATCCCTCCACCATGAATGGGCTAAACAAAATATGTCTTAAACCAAAATCTTCTCAAAACCATCATAAAACAGTGTCTCAGTCATCAGGCAGTGAATTCATAACCATTTCATGTAGGAACTTTCTGTGAGGGAGCTTTTAGAGGAGGACGTCTGGTTCCTATCACCACCACTGTGAGCAGTTCTGACTCGGTATGTTTCTCTAGAACGGAGCGTTTCACACCAAACCACTCTGAATGACTCTGTTTACTTTGCAGTGATTTAATTGTACAAATATTTTGAAAAATTGGAGGAATTCCCCTTTATACTTCGCTATAACTGCATGTACACACGTCACTACATATGCAATAATTCCAGTTACAAGAGACGGAAAATAGAAATTCCCCTTCAACATAATGAGTTATGAGTAAGTCAAGCAGTCTTCATTGTAAAAGTAAAGTAAAAGGAACAAAAACGTAATTTTTTTTTGCCGTTTGCTCTTTGTGTAACGGAAAAACTTGTGGTGTATGTCTTTACATGTTTTCAGTGATATTTTTAAAGCTGCCCTGTTGTTTCTCTCCTCTTGTTGATGAAGTAGCTGGTTTAAAATGAAATCCATCAATGTCGGCTAATCCTAATAAGGGAGGGACTGTGTGTAACTTAACCTAATCAGGTTAAACCCCAAGACAAACACGTGTGAATTCAGTTTACCCACAGAATGGAGCAGGAGTTCCAGTCCCAGTGGAACCCTTTAGTACTCAGTGTACAGACGAGCTGCCTGGACAAACATCACGTCCTTCATGAAATTAGTATAATCTCCATCATAACAACGCAGCATTAACTCCAACTCCACATATTCAGCCTTTCAGTCAGAAACTGGTTCAGGATCAGCATTAAATAACAATAACCCTGATAACAAGAGCAGCTGAAGTGACGCCCAGCTGGTTGCTAGGAAGCTGCCAGATGTTTGACTTTTTAGGTGGTTTCTAAGGTGCTGTTAAGTGGATGCTATCATAACACAGGTTGTTGCTATGTGGTTGCTATGGTACCCCAGGTGGTTATATGGTTTTGCTAGCTGGTTGCGATGGTGTTGGTGTTGAGAATTTCCCTATTGGGGACTAATAAAGGGTTACCTTATATTATTCCAAGAGGTTGCTAGGGTGTTGTTGGGTGGTTGCTATAGTATCCTAGGTGGTTGCTATGGTATCGATGGTGGTTGCATAAGTGTTGTTAGATGGTTGCTATGGTACCCCAGGAGGCTACTATGTTGTAAGGTGTTGCTATCTGGTTGCAATGGTGCTCCAAGTTGTTGCTAGGGTGTTGTCAGGCAGTTGCTCTAGCATTCTAGGTGGTTGCTAGGGTGTTGTTATGGTATCAGTGGTGGTTGCATAGGTTTGCTAGCTGGTTGCGATGGTGTTGGTGTGAGAATTTTCCTGTCGTGGGACTAATAAAGGGTTATCTTATCTTGTCCCAAGACGTTGCTAGAGTGTTGATGGGTGGTTGCTGTAGTATCCTAGGTGGTTGCTATGGTATTGTTGGTATAGGTATTGTTAGATGGTTGCTATGGTATCCCAGGGGAGTTCTGTGGTGTTGCCATGTGGTTACTATGGTGTCCCAAGTTGCTGCTTGGGTGTTGCTCGGTGGTTGCTATGGCATTCCAGCTGGTTGCTACAGTGCTGCCAGACGTTTCCTATCGTATTTTCTATATGTTTCTAAGGTGCTGTTAAGTGGTTGCAATTGTATCACAGCAACAGCTAGGTGGTTGATATGGTATCTCTGCTGATTGCTAGGGTGTTGCAAGATGGTTGCTAAGATATCTGCTACTCGGTTACTAGGGCATTGCTTGGTGGTTGCTATGTTACCCCAGGTGGTTACTATGGCGTTGCTAGCCATAGACACAGCAGTGCTGCTGCAGTCTTTAAACACCTCAGTGTCACTGCTGGACTGAGAATAGTCCACCAACCAAAAATATCCAGCCAACAGCCTCCTGTGGGCAGCGTCCTGTGACCACTGATGAAGGACTAGAGGATGACCAACACAAACTGTGCAGCAGCAGATGAGCTATCGTCTCTGATTTTATATCTACAAGGTGGACTGACAAGGTAGGAGTGTCTAATAGAGTGGACAGTGAGTGGACACAGTGTTTAAAAACTCCAGCAGCACTGCTGTGTCTGATCCACTCGTACCAGCACAACACACACTAACACACCACCACCACGTCAGTGTTACTGCAGTGCTGAGAATGACCCACCACCCAAATAGTACCTGCTCTGTGAGGGTCCATGGGGGTCCTGACCACTGAAGAACAGGGTAAAAGGGGGCTAACAAAGTATCAGAGAAACAGATGGACTACAGTCTGTAACTGTAGAACTACAAAGTGCACCTATATAGTAAGTGGAGCTGAAAAAATGGACAATGAGCGTAGAAACAAGGAGGTGGTCAGAATGTTATGTCTGATCTGTGCATACTGCACACAGGAAACGGTGATGAATTCACAGTTTATGTTCTGTAGGTGTGTGAGGTTTAATGTGGGTGGAGGAGGTTCTACTGGGAGCAGTGCTGGTTGTACAGTCTAACAGCTGCAGGGAGGAAGGACTTTTAAGCAGGACTTTGAGTTCTAAGACAAAACGTTATAAGGAAATTGCTAAAGAGCTTGTATGCAGTTGCAGAAAACAGCATAAGCTGAAGAAACACTACAGTGGTATTTTGCAATACCTGCAGCTTTGCACAATAAAGGGCAGAGACCGATTTGAATTCCAGACCTACAGTGTCATCTCGGCAGTGTGTGATGTTAAGAATGGCATCAGTTCACACAATGAGTCTCGTGGGTTTGCTGTTTATTTGACCACACTGAGGACTCTCCCACTTTAACTGCACATTTAGGGTAAACAATATGTCTGCAAACGACATCAACAATAGCGCTTACAGGCAATAAGCCTGACGAATTCACAGCCAGACGCTGCTCCGAGAGGGGACAACAGAGGCCTTGTTTACAGTAAACAACGTATGTTGAGCCCAACACAATAGGGAGTTAAGATCCTATATCACTGAGCCTTGTGGCTTTCTATAAGATTGTGTGTTGGGCACAAAAACAGCCTTGTGTACAAGACGTATAGATCGAGCACCATGTTTACAGACTAGAGGAAAAGAAACTATCCCAAAATATACGGTCATAAAAATCCTGAAAAGAGCACGTGGAATACGTGGGTCATTCTACAGAAACGTCCATTTTTGTGTCCCTAGTGTTTACAGATATATTACACATTAGAGTTACAATTTATTTATATTTCAAAATAAAACTAAGTTATTTTAACAATTACACCTTCTTGATCCTCAATTTAGCAATCCTGGTTTTTAAATCAATCATATAGAATCCAAGCACCTCAGAAGAGCTCGTCCTCACAGTCATGTGTGAAGGTGTAGAGGCCATATTTTGAAGTAAAAAACATGTTTTTCTGCAATTTTAACTACAATAATCTGAAAATATATAATGAAAATATATAATTTAAAAAATTATATATATATATAAACAAAAAAAACATATAATGAAAGTTGTCCCCAGGAGTCGTGTCACTGGTGTTACCGTGTAACAAAAAATCTCTTATTTTGAAATAAAAGTCACACTGATGACATCACTCGACTTCCTTTTCCCTGTTTTCTGAGGGATCTATGAAGAAAAGCTCATGGTGAGTCCACTGTGTCTTTCAGTTATCAGAGATTTTCTCATTTAGCTCATGATTTCATATGAAGCTTTTAGCTGAAGTCACTGGTGTGACTGACTTTATTCTGAGGTAATTGTGAAAAAATAGAATACAAATGGATTAAATTCCATATTTTAGTGGATATTCCATGATGGACAACATGTGGTTTGATGCTCTGTAGCAGCCATTTAGTAAAATACATTGTTCATTAAAAATGTCTCTGGTGTTCCTTTATTTTGTGTAACACCAGTGAGGATCAGTAACACCAGTGACTCCTGTGGAGAGACAGAAGAGTGGACGTTTCTATAGAATGACCCATGTATGTTTTCCTGCATAATTAGATGGTTAAGATATAAACAGAGTCGTTCAGAGTGGTTTGGTGTGAAACACTCCGTTCTAGAGTCAGAATTGTTCACAGTGGTGGTGATAGGAACCAGACGTCCATGACATGAAATGGTTATGAATTCACTGCCTGATGACTGAGACGCTGTTTTATGATAGCTGTAAATCCATTTATGATGGAGAGGTACTTGCAGGGTGTTGCTAGGCAAAAACAAATAACTTATTATTTCAGATTTATCACTATTTTACCATCAATAACATTATGTATAAAAATGCAGAAGACGTATAGGTTCACTGGGGTTGGGCAATATGATCTATTGTTATTGTGATTAATTATGCCACAAAATTATGCTTATCTGAACGTACTGACGATATTGCCGGGACTTTTACTGTCGCATGCTTGTTTCTAAAGCGAGCATGATTAGTCCTGTTCACCTGCATAGGCTTTCTTACTATTCTATTTGATAGTATGTTTAAACCTGGTATTACTTGGTATATTTTGGTAGATAACGTGTACCATAAAACTTCTTAAAGTATCGAGGTATTACATATTTGCCATCTTGCCCACTTCTGTAGGTTAACTGGTGGTTCTGGATAGT